ATTATGATCTTAACTTGCAGATTTACTATTATCATTTTTATTCTATATTTAGGCTATGGAATAAGCTTTTATTGAAAGAAACATTAGCAACAATAACTAGTTAACTTGCTAATAGTACACATGATTACATGACACAAAGTAAGATAAAAAGAAAAAAAAAAAGTTAATAATTTTTACGTAAAAATATCTTCCTTTTTCATCTGTCTATAATATACAGAAGGATAATTAGCTCATTCGCGACGGACATGCCCACTGTGAGTTTACTTGTTTAATTGTTTATACACACAGATGGCTACACTTGTACTAAAACACCAATGAGCCAATTACGAGTACTGCCTGTCTCGCCCGTTCACCCTTTTCTTTAATTTGCGAAAATATTTTACGTTATCTTATTTTGTTATTACTAGTGTTTATAACATTATAGTTATAACACCATCGATATTCATAGCACTAGTAAAAAATACATTTTCCTGCCAATTCAAGGAAAGGTGAAATCAGGTAAGGCAGAGCCATCTATGTATAGAGACATTTCACAAAAAATATAAGAAATGAGCACAGCATTTTCCCCTTTTTTTCATTTTCCCCGTCGCGAATGGGTTAAAAACATTTATATTGGAAACAATAATCTTTGAGCAAATCACAGTAAAGCTAGACATAACAAAAACTATTTTCCTGATGAAATTCTTAAACTCACAATAGCAGCAACAATATCTTGTCTTACAGTTTTTTTATAATTACACACAGAAGTAATAATAACAATAACATGAACTAATAATAACACCAACGAGAACACACCAACTCTGAGTAAATTAATGTCTCCTACTGATTAGTTCTAACTGAGTTCGAAAGAGAGGGAGAGAGAGAGAGAGAGACGAGAAAGTAAGGAAGACAGAAAAGAGACAGAAGAGAATCAGACTGAATTAAAGATATGTATTTTGATTTAATGCAGACACCGATATACATTGCCGAGGTATCAGTAGCAATATATCCTTGTTTGGAAAGTATCCGTGGTATTAATGAATTTCATTCCTCATTCACTCGTGTGGAAAATTAACACTGATTAACACTTTTCAGCACTAATTAACACTAATTGAATGTTTACCTGTTGTATCTGACTAGGTACCACTACGCGGGCTGGGGCAGAAAAGATCAAAGTAAGAGAAGAGAGAGAGAGAGAAGAGAGAGAGAGAGAGAGAGAGAGAGAGAGAGAGAGAGAGAGAGAGAACATACAAAGTTAGGTAGATAGATATACATACATATATATATATATATATATATATATATATATATATATATATATATATATATATATATATATATTCATCTCTCTCTCTCTCTCTCTCTCTCTCTCTCTCTCTCTCTCTCTCTCTATATATATATATATATATATATATATATATATATATATATATAATATATATATATATATATATATATATAGAGAGAGAGAGAGAGAGAGAGAGAGAGGGGGGGGGGAAGCAGAGATATTAGACAGAGAAAGCGAAAGAGACACACACAAAAAGAGTGTGAAAAAAGAGAAAGGAGAAAAAAAGGAAAAGAAAAGAAAAAAAAAAACACGCTCTTAACATCTACGTATCCGAATCAAATACACAGACCGACGCAAGAAGCAAAGGACACCCACACACGCAGAATCACGTATCCGCGAAGGCCCTGTGATACGTGCAGAGCAATTAACGTCGCAGGTTAATTAGTGCGGTGCAGATGACATTCAGGTGTCACGGCGGGCGCTTCCTCCCGTCTCTTGTGGCTCTGAATCATATTCATTCAGAGGGGAAAAAAAGAAGAGAGAAGGGGGGGGAGGTGGAGGGGGAAGAGGGGAAGGAAGGAAGAGGGGGAAGGAGGGAGGGAGGATGGGGAGAAGAAGGCGGGATAGAGAGGAAGGTAGGGAGGGAAGAAGGAAGGGGAAGATAAAGAGGAAGAGAGAAAAGGGGTAGGAAGGTAGATGGGAGAGAGGAAGGGAAGAATGAAGAGATTGAAGAAGGGAGAGAAAAAAATCGTTCTATACCCCCCTCCCCCCCCAAAAAAAAATATATATATATACATGCACACACACACACACACACACACACACACACACACACACCACACACTCACACACACACACACACATATATATGTACATATACATATATAAAGTCCTCATTTTTACTCATTCCTTCATTCATCCTTGTCCTTCCTTCCGAAACACCTACACATACCCCACCCCACCCCACCAGACAACAATAATAACAATAACAACACCAACTAACCTCCCTTTGGAAACATCTGAAAGTACAGTTCCTTGAAGGCGTCTTCGCGCACGACTCCCGTAGGACACCGATCCTTGAAGCTCCTGTAGAGGCGCTGCAGTTCGGGCCTCGTGAAATGGGTGGTGCGGCAGAGGGCGTTGATGTCTTCGGGTCGGTAGCGCGGCTCCTGTTCGATGATCTCGAGTTCGGAGTCTGGGAAGGGCGAGAGAAAGAAAACGGGGGTGAGACAA